GCGCGCCGGGGGCCCCCGCGAGGCGGCGCCGTTGGGCCGGGCGCGCGCGGGGCTCCCGGAGCGGGGAGCGGCCGCGGAGCGGGGGCACACGGGAGCACACGGGAGCGCAATGTGCCGGGTAAAACGGCTCCGCTGGGCTCTGACCTGCGGTCACGGACGCTTCAGGAGTGGGGTATGCAGAGGTCATTAACCGCTAGTCCCCGGTTCCGGCTCTTTAGTGACATCTCTGGGTGGTTTAAAAAGGAGTTGGGTGTTTGGAACTTCCTAGCTACGTGTCTTTGGAAACCATTTTCAATACCAACCATTAATAACATTTAATAATAACATAACATAATAATTAATTTTTTTAAAAATAGACATTAAGGATATGAACGCTTAGCATCAATCTCAGTGCACTGTGAGGAAGGGAGTAGAAAACTCCAGATACTCCACTTAGCTGTCAGAGATGTTTAGGAAGAGTTTGAGGTGTCTGCCTTTCAGTTCGAAGACTTCCTTTAGGTTTAAGATGTAATTCCTTCTCAGTAGCAAGTTAAATTTCTTTCTGGCTGATTTTGAGCTATTAGTAACACATGGAATAACAATGCATAGACAGCAATCAGGGCAGTTAGGAAGACAACTGTGATAAATTTACAGCCTAGCAGATTATATACTGCCTGCGTGCCTACAGACTTGGAAGGGCAGGAATTTGAGCAAGCCCAGTTTTAATGTGGTTCAGGTCATATCAGGACTGTAAATTGTATTAAGTACTTTAGTCTAATTAAATGTCTTTCCCCAAAATCTCTTTTAAGTCCAAAAGCCCTTTAACACTCTCTTCACATACATTCTTTTACTGGCTACATGTGCCCAGTTCTACCGTTAGCTCATGTAGACATTAATTGCTAAATTTGATCCAGGAATTGGTAAGAGTAAGCTGAATTGATGTTTTTTTAAAGATTTACAGAGATTCAGAAGGTTGAAATAAAACGCATCAGTTTCTGTAATGCAGTAATCCTTGCAAACCTTACTTTGCTGTTCCAACATTACAATAGTCTATAAAGTCAAAGGAATCACACGTGAAATATAAGTAGCATTATGTGAAAATGGATCTTCATGAACTTACTATTTTCATAATCGGCTCTAAGCATCAGCTGGAGAGTCCCTTGCTTCTACCTTTTTTAGTGAATGATGTATGACAGAGTTTCTCAGTGTGGCCTGAAGGTGCAAAACCCTTAAAATACAGCTTTGATCCAGCACACATCATATACCTTTGGTATGTTTTCCCTTACAAGGAAACTTGGAAGTGACCGTAGCCACTATAAAACTCTGGCCAAATAAAAGAGCAAATAACCTTACATAACTTTAAAACCAGAAAACCAATCTAATAAAACTTACCTCCTCCTCCTCCTTTCCACAAGGCAGTGTTTTCCTCCAGATCCAGCAATGAGTTTTCATTTCCTCCAATTCCACAACGGTCTCAAGTCTTGAAGAGGCAATCACCAATTTGCTTCCATTTAGTGTTTATGTCACTACTGTGGGCAGTAAATTTAAAATAAAATGTGAAGTATTGCATTTCCACCCATGGTCATACTTTCCTTTACCCTTCACTGAGGAACTCCCACGCTGGAACACTTCACATGTACAAATCTCCAGTTAATTGCCAGCTACTCAAAGTAGGGAAGAACTTAAAGCACTGCCAAGTTTCACAGCCTATATATCTTAAATGTATATTAAGAGCAGAATTATGAGTTTCAGTCACTTGGGATCCTATGACT